GGAAGGAGAGAGAGGGAGAGAGAGAGGAAGGGAGGGAAGGAAGGAGACAGAGGGAGGAAGGGAGGGAAGGAAGGAGAGAGAGGAAGAGGGGGGAGAGAGAGATAGAGAGAGAGGGAGACAGAGAGGGGGAGGGGAGAGAGAGAGAGAGGGATGCCCTAAACGGGCCTCTTATTATTATACAGGCTCTTAAAGGGATAACAGCCAAAAACTTTGCTGACTCATTCCCATCATTACATCATAGCATCAGGGATGCCAAGGGGCTGAATTCGAATCACGTAGCCATGGGGATGCTACAATGGTTGTGAAGTGTTAAGACTGGTCGTAAGTCACTTTTTTCAGTTGCCGCTGTAACTTTGCACGGTCACCAAACGAATAATTGAAGGCGAATATACATGTCCAGAGCACACCTAGAATCCTGCATCCAGTTTTGTCACCACACTATAAAAAAGATGTCGAGGCTCTAGAAAGAGGGCAGAGAAGAGCAACCAGGACGACAAGGGGACTGGAGGCTAAAACATATGAAGAACGGTTGCAGGAACTGGGCCTGGCTAGTCTAGTAAAGAGAAGGACCAGGGGAGACAGGAGAGCAGCCTTCCAATATTTGAGGGGCTGCCACAGAGAAGAAGGGGGTCAAGCTATTTTCTAAAGCGCCTATAGGCCAGACGAGGAATAATGGATGGAAACTGAAGGAGGAGAGATTCAACCTGGAAATAAGGAGAAACTTTCTGACAGGGAGAGCAATCAACCCATAGAACAGAAGTTGCCTTTGAAAGTTGTGGGAGCTTCATCACTGGAGGCTTTCAAGAAGAGATTGGACTCACATCTGTCAGAAATGGTGTAGGGTCTCCTGCTTGGGTGGGGGTTGGACTAGATGACCTACAAGGTCCCTTCCAACTTTATTATTCTAGATATATACTCTAGGACAGGGGTCGGCAACCTGTAGCTCTGGAGCCGCATGTGGCTCTTTCATCCCTCTGCTGTGGCTCCCTGTCGCCAGTCGGCTCCACAATTGATAGGGCTTTCAGTTAGGACAGGTAGAGGAAAAAGGACGCCGTGCTAGGAGGAGACTCTATGGTTGGGGAACCGGACTTCCGGTCGGCAGAGGGAAAAGGATACCTCGCTAGGAGGAGACTCTATGGTGATAGGAACCGGACTTCCCGTCGGCAGAGGGAAACGGATGCTGCGCTAGGAGGAGACTCTATGGTGGAGGAACTGGACATCCGGTCACCTCCAGAATTGACGGGGGGGCTTCCGGTTAGGACTTTTGTGGTTCTTTGAGTATTTAAGGTTGCCGACCCCTGCTCGAGGTTGTAAGCTTGCCTATACTTTTTACCTGTGCTGTTGGGAAGGATCCACGTATTGCAGTTCAGCTGGTAGAAGAAAACGTGGTTGGTGAAATTCTCCCGTTCGGTCCGCCCTCCGATGACCACCATGGTGTCCTTCAGCACGGCTGCCACGTGGAAGAAATGAGCCAGGGGCTGGAGAGGGATGGAGAGATTGGCATCTGATTTGCATCCAAGGCTCATCTTGGAAGATGCTTCCTTCTTCCCGGTTGGGGGTCCCATCAGTCCCCAATTCAGGATTATATTTAGGGGTTTTCTAAATGGTGTTGCTGTGGTCTGCCAGGTGGCCTGCGGAGCTAGTAGCAGAGTTGGACAGTGGGGAGGAACACGGGCCAGTCCTGGAGTCTGGGGAGGGCTCAAACGAGCGACCTGCATCCAACACAGAGATGGGGCCAGGACCAACTGATAATTATGTGCTGACTCTGGAGCTTCCAGAGTCTGACATCAGCGAGGAAGAGAAACAGAGGGAGCCTGTTTCCAGGGCGCGCTTGCACAGAGCTGCCAGAAGGCAAGAACAGTTAAGACAAAATGGGAGACTCGTACGTAAGGCTTGGAGACGATTGGCACCTCCCATAAGTCATAAAGGAGGAGCAAAGGGACATGAGCCTTTGCAGGAAGCAACTTTGTTCGTTCCGGTAGGTTTAAACTCTGAAGATCCGTGTTGACTTTGTGCTCCATTTGGCCTTGTACAGCTAATAGGCAATTTAGTCATGGGCAGCATTTCAAGGGAGATAAAGGTGGGTGCTTATCAGCCTTATCCCGAAGGAATGTGGCAGACTTCTTTTGGACGATTCATAAGCTGTTTGGGACTCATTACGGGCTGTGAATGCATATAATTCACTGCCACTGAAATAAAAACAAGGTTCTTGGGAACAGCTTGTGACTGTTACTGTCTCAGGAAGCCTTGGTCAGAAGAGGTTTATTGGTATCAAAGGTTAGCCCTGTAAAAACCATGCTTGCTTCCTCACAGCCACCATCCTCCCCCTCCTGTGAGATCCACCCAACTCTACAATGGGTAGTCCTCGACCTACAACCAAAACTGACCCCAACATTTCTGTTGCTGACATCTGTTAAGTGAGGTTTGTCCCCATTTTACGACCTTTCTCGCCACTGTTGTTAAGGGAATCCCTGCAAAGGGATTCACATGACCCCAGGACACTCCAACCGTCATAAATACGAGTGAGTCGCTGAGGATCTGAATTTGGGTGACGTGACCAGGGGGATGCCGCAACGGTCTTCCGTAGGAAAAATGGCCGTGGGTCACTTTTTTCAGTGCTGTTGTAACTTCGGTCACTAAATGAACTGTTGTTAAGTTGAGGGCTATTTGTATCTGGAATGGCCCCTTGAGAAAATTAATTGCCCACCCCTGAACGAAAGGAAACATCTCCCAAGGCCACCTGGGTATCCTTGTTAGTTCTGCTCTCACCTTTGGTCCTTGAGATGGGGCCAGTAAACTCCAGGTCAAGTTGGGATAATAAAGGCTGTAGAGTTCAGGAGAAGCCGATACCATCTCCACGTGGAAACGGTGGCCGCCGAAGACGTAAACAGCATCTGTGCTCTCGTGGTACACAGCTGAGTGGCCGTAGAGACCTGCAAAGGAAATCTGGAGTACCAGGAGTTCATATGTATGGCTTTGGGGGATCCCAATTTAGGCTGCCGTTTCTCAGCCTTGGTGTTCTGACCAAGCTCCCCAAACCCTCTGTAGCTGAAGCAATGATTCCTTTATGAGGAGCCCTGGCAGCCCCGCCAAAAAGCTTCTCTCTCCCCTCAAGCTAACAAGTCTGTCCAGCAGGGGACGCGAACAGTTGTCTGCCACATCTATTCATCTCGGCCCTCTGCCTTTTATCTCCAGAGCTGAGGGGTTGGGGGTGGGGGTGTTGTTTGCAGCGGTGGCTCTTCCATCCCAAGGATCAGCCCATAGATTTCCACTGCTCTCCTCTCCTCTCTTCTGCCTTCTGTGCATTCGCACATCAGGCACCAGACCCAGCTGTTCCTCCTCTTCCTCCTCAGCCACCTCCACCCCTGGGGGCTGTTGACTCTCCATCTGAGGGCTGACGGACAGCCCAGGTGCCACCTCTGTCTCTCTCTCTCTCTCTCTCTCTCTTTCTCTCTCTCTCTGCCAGCTCCATTCCCTCTGGTTGCTGTGATGCTGACCCTGACTCCCATGCCTCCTCCTCCTCCTCCTCCTGTGATTTGGCTGCTGGAGGGGCTGGCAGCCACAACACTTGGCAACTTGGCTGGCTGGGGAATTCTGGGAGTTGAAGTCCACCATCTTCAAGTTGCTCAGGTTGAGAAACATTGACTTAGAAGACCCCCAAGCTCCCTTCTAACTCTTCTATTCTATTTCTATTATTTCTATTTCTATTATTTCTATTTCTATTTCTATTTCTACTCTACTCTACTCTACTCTACTCTACTCTACTCTACTCTACTCTACTCTATTCTATTCTATTCTACTCTACTACACTATATTCTATTCTACTCTACTCTACTCTACACTATATTCTATTCTACTCTACTCTACTCTACACTATATTCTACTCTACTCTACTCTACTCTATTTCTAATTCTATTCTATTCTACTCTACTCTATTCTACACTATATTCTATTCTACTCTACTCTACTCTACACTATATTCTACTCTACTCTACTCTACTCTACTCTACTCTATTTCTATTTCTAATTCTCTTCTCTTCTCTTCTCTTCTCTTCTACTCTACTCTACTTTACTCTACTCTACTCTATTTCTATTTCTATTTCTATTCTATCTACTCTACTCTATTCTGCAGTCTGGGGAATTTGGAGGGCTTCCTTTCCCTGGAAGTTTTTATAAAAAGAGACCTGGCTTTTATAACTCCCACCGTCTCTTGGTAATGGATCCTGGAGTTCCTTTCCAAAATTTTGTGTCAGTGACTCCAGTGCTAGGCTCCCCCTCCCCCCCTCCCCGAATTCCCTGCTGACATCGTCCTGACCGTCTACCTGTCGGGGGTGTTCCTGCCTGGTTCCCGGCGTGCCAGCTCTCTGATGCCACGTTGTATTCCAGCAGTTTCTTGTTGAAGCCGTTCTCGGGAGAGTAGCCACCGATCAGAAGCAAGGAGGAGCCGCGCCGCGCCGTGAGGGTGTGACCAGCTACGGCTGGGATCAGAGGGTCCTAGGATGCGTGGGAAGAAAAGAGAGAATGCTTTTTAAGACGAAAGAGAGGGACTGAACCGAAGATGGCTCTCTGTTCTCCACTTGCTGGAGTCATGATAAAGAGGAATAAGGCCTGGAATTCCCTTACGGTGAAATACCATGTCACTGTTTATCAACAGAGAAGACTTCAAGACAGTGCTCAGATTTTTTGACTGGCTATGGATACTCATTCACCTTCTTCGTTGCGCAGGAAGATGATGTCAAAGAGTCTCTCCTCTCACCCTCCTGCTGTTCTAGGTTATTTGTTGCTAAAGAGTTAAGAGGAAATTAGGAAGGCCTCAGCCTCCCCCTTTCTCTCAGGTGAGAACAACCAGACCCCCACGCAGAGTTCCAATAAGCTACTTTATTGTTCTCTGCCTGCAATACAGGAATCTCCCCAGACGGGCAGCTTTTGCCTGGGAGAGGCCAGATAAGGCTCCAAGCGTTCAAGGGCGTCTGTGTGTGTATGTGTATGTGTGGCAGAGAGAGAGAGAGAGAGAGAGA